TGCGCAACAAAGAAGAACGTCTTGAAGGCACGTAGCAAGTGTGCGAGGCAACTAGAGAACGAATCTGGTGCGCATACCCTCAAAAGTCCCCATATTTGTAAGCAAGGATGCGGTGGTACGCCAGAGAATTTTTTTGAATTTGCGTTGAAAGTTGCATCGTAGGCAACAGATCAAAAGCCAATTGGAAAAAAAATGGCACAAATACAAGTTTTTGTGAGCCAATGATTGTGCTAACAGCATGTCTATTGCCGGTGGTGTTTTGGTAGCACCTATTTGTGCAGGAACTCTACAAATGCAGTTGTGTTTCGGGTTTTTACGTGCTGGTGGATTGCTCCTTTCAAAATGAAGTTGTTCTATCTGTCATTGTCGCAGAATCTCCACGCCTCTAGAGCAACCCAGACCTTGTTTTGACCTTCATTCTGACAGATTTGACGGCTTATGTTCAAGACCAAAAAACGCTTCCCAACGTGTGCACCATAATGTATTTCCAGAAGTTTCTTTGACTTGTCCAACATGAATTCGAGAATGGCCGGCGAGCCTTGATACATTCAGCCAAAATGCTCTCTTGCTGTATCCATGCTTTGGAGGAAGTTCGATGTGTTTGCCTATGACAGTCTGAAATCTGGAAAGCAAGATCTTTGATGTGAGCAAAGTAATTTTGCTGAAAAACTTATCTTGCTGGAGAACTGTGTTATGTGCCATTTTGAGAAGATTGCAAACATGCGAAAATGCAACCAGAGGTGATCGTTAAGACCGTTTCGTGGCCGTTGCAAGAGCTGTCTGGCTCTCATTTGCTCTACACACTTTGAAAGTCTAAGTCGGTGCTGAAGGCATCCGTAAGGTCAAGTTCGAGATCTTTCGTACACTCGAGACATTCAATCCAGAGAATAGCGCTGAACTCTCCGAAGAGTTCTCTCACCTTTTTTCTTTTTGGTTACGACAACTTCTACGACGGCCAGATCTAGAGAGATAACAGCATCTTTGTGCGATGTAATTAATTTTGGGGAGTTGAAATCATGTCTTGGAAGCGGCTCTCAGACGATTGCATTTTCGAGAGTGCTTCTGATGCAGTCGGCAAGGCTTGATGTTGAGTCAGAAGCTTTGGGATGGTACAGCCGTGTGCCATCCAAGAGTAATCCGTCAGATGCCGCCTCTTGTCTCGAGTTTGATTCTTACAAAGATTGCAAGCAATCCTTCATACGAGGCTCTTTTGCCAGAAGGCATTTGAAGGGAGTTGGAGTGGTCTGGCAAAGGCCGTGTGTCCGCTTACACGTGTGTGTGACAAGGGTCGCATGCACCGTTATGCGCATTGTATATGACATTGCGCCGACCCCCATACCAGTCAGGGCTTCGTAGAGAAAAAGAGGGAGTGCGAGCATCTTTTGACATATTGCCATGACGGAGTGTTGAGTTTCCTTATTTCAAGCTCTATGGAATGAATGCAATTTTACTTCAAGCCTTTGGAGATAAAGGCACTTCTCACACTTGTGTGATAAGCTTGTATTTCCTTGCTTGAAAGTTTGTGCGAAGGCGCATAAAACGTGTAAAAATTTTCATGCATGCTGCTTGAACATTTGGGAAGAATTTTCATGGTGTTTTTCATGATGTTTTCTTTCCATGCGGATTTTCTGGGAGTTGCTCTTTTGTGACGAACACGCAATCCGCTTGTTAATGTTTCAAGCAAAGAGCACGGTGGTCTTTTGACCCACCACACCCTCCCGACCACCGTGGTCTGGCAAATGCCGTGTGTCCGCTTACACGTTTGTGTGACAAGGGTCGCATGCACCGTTATGCGCATTGTATATGACCTTGCGCCGACCCCCATACCAGTCAGGGCTTCGTAGAGAAAAAGAGGGAGTGCGAGCATCTTTTGACATATTGCCATGACGGAGTGTTGAGTTTCCTTATTTCAAGCTCTATGGAATGAATGAAACTTTTACTTCAAGCCTTTGTTATTATGACTCACCTCCAGGAAGACTTTCATGGCTCCGCCATACAACAGTGTCGCACTGCGCGCACATTGCGCAAGGACTTCCGCCCTACTCCTACTAATCTCATTGACACTAAAGGAAAATTGGTTTCTAAAGCGGCGCGGGCCGAAACCTTTGCAGATTACCTGGCAAATCAGGTATGGAAAGCCCCAGACGACGAATCTAAGCCTTTTTCTCCGCCTTTGGAGGAAATCCCAACCTCCGCTCGCCCCTTTACAATGGAAGAACTGAATATTGTTTTGAGAGCTCTTGGTAGCCGTAAGGCTGCAGGGCCAGATGCAATTCCCGCCGAGCTTTTACAAAACGCTCCCTACGTGTTTCGTCTCTATCTTCTTGACCACTATAATCATTGCCTCCAGCAGGGCCAAGCTCCCTCTTCATGGCTACATTCAAAAGTGGTTATGCTGGTTAAAAACTATCAGAAAGATACAAAGCTCCTTTCTAACTATCGACCTATCTCTCTCACTAACACTATGTATAAAATTTATGCTTCCCTCCTGCAACAAAGATTGGCAGCAAACTTTGATCATCGCCTCCGCCCCACGCAATTTGGCTTTAGATCGGGTAGGTCAGTTACACAACCCATCCATATACTTCGCCGCCTACTGGAGGTACACGAACGCCAGACTGATTTGTTCCACGCTATTTTCCTGGATTGGGCAAAAGCCTTTGATTCGGTGACTTTCTCCTCGATACAATCCTCTCTTGAATACATGGGAGTTCCTCCTTTGATCAGAGAAGCGATTGCTTCGCTGTATCAGAACCCCACTTTCACAGTCCGGGAGAGTCAACACCGCTCTGCGGTTTACACACAGACCAGAGGTCTTAGACAGGGTTGCCCCCTCTCTCCTTATCTATTTGGTTTTGTGCTCACCCATCTCTTTGAAAGCCCGGAATCGCAATACGTTGCGGAACATGGGATTATCTCAGGGGTTCTCAGACTAGGTACCTCCCTTTGGGACCTAGAATACCCGGATGACACGGTTTTATTGTCCAATTCCTTTACTCAAGCGCAACTCTTCTTACACCTCATTCAGAAAGAGGGTGCCCGACGGGGCCTGGCCTAGTTCTCAACTTCGACAAGTGTGAACACTTAGCTTTGAACTCTTCTCAGCGAGTGTATTACGATCCGCAATATCTGCCCACACAGGTGGAAGATCTTCGTGTCCCTGTGTCGGACGCGGTCAAATATTTAGGTGTGTACCTCGACCCCAAATCACGTAACCATAAAAATGTCTCCACTAGAATTTCCAGAGCGATGGAGGCTTCCAAGAAACTTGCTCCGTTGATGAAACATGGGCTCCTCCCACCCAATTGGAAGCTGCTGGTATATAGATCGGTTGTGCAGTATATTCTCATGTATGCAATGGACAGCTTATTGCTTACGCCAGCACAACTCACGAAGATGGACTCAATGCACTATAAATGTCTCAGACGCATTTTTAAAATTAAGTCATCATACTACCATCGTGTTATCAACCCCTCCTCTCTGCCTTGTTCGAATCAGTACCTGGCTGAATTGGCCTTTAGCTCACGCAGAGTAATCTCCCCTTCTCAGCTATACTCTCAAAATCGCCTTAATCTACTTGGTCACTTGTATAGGCATCCAGACTCGTTAGAGACGCAGGCTACGTTTATGCCCTCTGCTGCCTATAGGCACACCAGAGGAGCCAAACGAGTGGGACGCCCCAAACCCCACTGGGCGGAGTCTTGCCTGGTAGAGGCTTCCCGCCGCATCAGTTATCTCCATTCAGATAGCCCTCCTCCCCATTCTGTGATTGACCATGAATTTTACGCCATCCCGAAAGCCGTAGATATACGGCAAGCACATGCCTCGCACTCCTTGGTGTGGATGGATAATACTCCCCTCTATCGCCACGTCTCTGCAGTTGCCAGAAATAGAGCATTGTGGGTTCCGGTTGTTAATAAACCAAGCCGTAAAACCCCGCAGCGTTCCTGAACGGTCGGAGCAGACGGGACCTACTTTGGGCCCTGCGCTTGCAAAAAAAAATGTATTCTGATAGCTGCTGTACATTATATAGTGCTAGTGGTACTCGGGAGGACTCGAGCGTACTCGAGCAAGCATACTCGAGACTCGAGCGTACTCGAGCATACTCGAGCGTACGCGAGCACACTCGAGCATACGGTACTCGAGATTACTCGAGCGTACTCAAGCATAACGAGCATGCGCAAGCGAACTCCAGCATACTCGAGCGGCACTCGAGCGAACTCGAGCATCGCACATGCTCGCGCATACTCGCGCATACTCGCACATTCTCGCTAATACTCGCGCAGGGCCGCGCATACCCGCGCATACTCGCGCATGCCCGGCGCTATCCGGGACCACAATCTGCAGTCGCGCTTTCCCGCCACAGTGAGTTGACCCAAAGACAATAGAATTCTTAGCTATCCATGGTCCTTGCTTGGACGTTTCAATCTGTTTGGGGCCTTTGCTGGCATAATTGCACAGTTTTTTCGAGAATATATCGCATTTCATTGCAACTCCACCGGCACGTCTTTTAATTGGGTGACACAGTGCTGTAGTATAGTAGGTTTTATCATGTTGGGACATCGTCTGTGTATTGGAAAAAGTTTGAATTGCTTAAAGGAGTAGTAAGCAATTGCAATACTCGCAGAATTACAATGATCTTAGTATTATAGTAGTAGCCTGCGCATCAGCCACAGAAGTATTTGTGAGTTATGACAGACATCTGCATGTTTTCCTCACACAGGTCTCCAAGTTGGCCAAGTCCAGGGCCTGAGAACCGACTGCAGTGTGAATACGCCAGCCCCTGATGGGGCAAAGTTCCGATTGAGTTGCATTTTGCCAAATGTTTTGTGTTCCCATTTCGGTGGTTTTCCGATCGATATTGGTAGCCGATGCTGGCAAAATTTGCATAAAGAGTCCTGGATCCTTTTCCCTGCCGTGCTGAGTGAGCTTCGGCTCGAAGGGGTAGTTTGCAACAACTCTGGTGGTTTTCCAAACTTTCTACGTGTGTTTGCCATGGCATGGTGAGAGGGCCGCACCCTCTCCAGGTCTTCCTGAGCAGATCACAGAATTGCAAATCAAATTTGAGCGTGTTTGTGTACAACGGCCCGGTATACGATACTGTGGAGCTGTATTGTTAGAAGAAGATGCTGTTGCTGTACCCAGTCTGCAGGTCGTCCTTGGGCTTTGTGTGGCATGCTTGTTCCGCACGGAGCGGCCCGGACGAGATCTCCACGTCCTCAGTGTTGATGAGGAGGGCGGGATGTGTGTTGTCAGTAGTTGCATCGAAATTCAGCAGAATACACTATAGTCACTATAGGTCAGTACAATATATTGTTGCATAGTATGGTGCTGTATATTGCATTTTAGTATAGTATGCTACAGTAGAGTAGAACAGAATTTAGTACAGTATCGGCCGGGCTCTTGTGCCTGCTCTCGTACCATCGCGATGTGTCAAACTGATGCAGCGAGTCAAAGTGGCAGAGCGAATCCATAAGGCCGACTTGCGTAGGTTGTATGTAGCAGTGACTATTGTTTACATGCAGGATTAGTCGGAATATCACCAGTTGCATCCCCTGGCCAGGATCAGGGATCAAGTCAACTGAGCGATGCGTATTCCGAAGGCCGATTTCTGCATGTTAGAACTTGACATCGAAGCCTCCAGACAAGCCGTAGCTACTTACTACAGGGGTTATTAGATTGATTGGATCTTGCTCGAAGAGCTAAGAAGGTTCAAACACGATGAGGTGCCGAGTTGTGGTTATGTGGAATCTCCTGGGTTCAGCCAGTCGGCAGGCATTCTGCCACCCGAAAGCCTTGTTGCTCTCGCATAATTATGAGTTGCACGGCAAAAGGTTTCTTGAAATGGATTAGTTGGATGTCTGGATTAGGTGGATGCCAAGTGCCACCAGCTGCAGAGACTTGTAGAGTCAAGCGAAACTCCATAGCAAACGTTGAATCAAGTTTGGAAGAAGCGGCGCTGGCATACTTTGCTTGGCATAGTGCTACTAGTTGGATGTAGTTGAGAACCGATAAGCGATGCAATCTGTTTCAGCGTGACTGCTGCAGTCTTGAAGCAAAGCCAGCTCAATTCGGGTAGGGCAACGTGGCTTGCATCTGTCATTGCGACTCTGTGATTCCACGAAGCATCAAAGGCTGCTGTTCTCATGCAAGGACATAAGCCGACACGGGGGCTGTGGCTGACGTGCGAGCAGTTGCTTGGTGATTGATGAAAGCCTGGTACCTGCTCTGCTGATGAAGCAGGCGAAGTGCGAGGTGCATCATCCACTCGCCGCCAACCGCCAGCTCTTCATTTCACGTGCCATCCCCTGAGTTCTGGCCGACTCTGACCCGACCTTCAGGGACTCATGGTGAAGTTCATAACAGTGTGGTATCTAGCTTCGCAAAGGCTCGGACATGACAGCAGCAGCTTTTGTCCCACCAGTTTCCTAATCATCGATTGTAGCTGTGCCCTTGCACAGGTGAATTCTGAATTCTAATGGGTATCATCTTGTGTGCTCGCGAAGTTTGACTCAAGGTCCGGATCATGAAGATGAAGCAGCAGCAGTGATGCACCTTGCGCTGGGCGTTTCTGAGCATCGCCTGCAAGGTACCTGGACAGCTTGAGTTAGACGCAATCGGCTACACATGTCATCCGCTGCATGAAGCAGTCTCAGCTCTATTTTGATATGATCAATGCGTGCAGAGCAATAGCCGCTCATGAGATGTGGAAGCCTACAAAGAGTCAATGTGCACTTGACGAGTTTGCACGCACCTATGTCTGACTTTGCTTTGTGGGATTTTCTTCTTTCTGGGTCCAGGCGGTTTGCAGACTTGAGGCGTTTCCCTTCTAAAAAGTTGTGTTGACTGCAGCACCGCAGCCAAGTCTATGACAAGGTGAGAGAACCCAATACCCCTTAATTAAGGAATATACCATAAATCATAATATTAAGGCCCTATAGTTCATGGTATATTCCTCAATTATGGGATATTGGGTTCTCTGGGAGGTCATCATTGTTCCTGGCCTGGCATCGGGTGCGACCCACGCGGGTGCATCGTTGCTATCCTTGCTATCCAGGTTCAGGACCGACTGGGCTCATGCACAGACAATATGCTACTTACCACTTTTGCAGGACTTTCCTGGGGAGCTTAGAGGACCATGTTCACATCTTCGGCACCTATTGCATGTGGTGATCCGGTCGGAGCATCTTTCCGGAGACATCCAGGAGTTTGCCACCTGCAAGGCTCTCAGGACTCTGGAGATAAGCGGAGCCTCCCATGTGTCTGGCGACATCCAGGCGCTGCAAGATTTGCAGGACCTGCGCGATGTTAGTCTCCGAGGAACGCGAGTGTCAGGCGACATTCAGGTCTTCCAGGCTCTGGTGAAGTTAGAAAGCTTGGATCTGGGGGCCACGCAGGTCTCAGGTGACATTCAGGCCTTCCAGGCCACTCCCAAGTTGAATGAGCTGTTCCTCTCGTCCACCCAAGTTGTCGGAGACATCCAAGTATTCCAGAAGAACAAGGAGCTTACAGTTCTGAGCTTGGCTTTGACCGGAGTCAGTGGAGACATCGAGGTATTCAATTCCACAGAGCTTCTGACAATTATCCAGATGACTTCAACGAGAGTCTGGGGAGACATTGTGGTCTTCCAAAGAACTCCGCACCTGCAAAAAGTCGATCTGACTTCAACAGCCGTGAGCGGGGACACGCGTGCCTTCGCTTCCCACCGCAAGCTGGAGAACATATTGATGGGCAACACTGGGGTTCATGGAGACATTGCAGTTTTCAACGCCAGCGGTATATCTCGTCTGAAGCTGCAGAAGACACAAGTCTTCGGCAATATCTCCGCCTTGAGAGCCCTGCCTCGACTCCAAGTCGTGAGCTTTACTTCCACCGCGGTGGTCGGTGACATCGTCGATTTGAAGCAGCTTGACGCGCTTGCTGTTTTTGAGTGTCATGGAACACATGTTGGAGGTGATGTGCAAGCCTTTGAACATCTTCAGTCCTTAGTGAGGGTGGTCATGTCTCTCACCAACGTCACTGGAGATATCGAAGTGTTTGCGAACAAGCCTGCCTTGTATGATTTGCAGCTTGCATCGTCACGAGTTGTCGGTGACGTAGGTGTGCTGATGTCCGGTGCTGCTGCCAATCAGTTGGAATTGCTCGACCTGTCGTCGACTAGAATCGTCGGAAACATGTGGGTCTTCAAAGACGCACCGTATTTGAAGGAGCTCTACCTTGCAGGGACTCAGGTTACCGGAAGCATGGATGGCATCATTCACTTGCCGAGTGCCGAGATCGTGGATTTCTCCGACACTTTGGTAACCGGAAGGCTTACGCGGCGATGGCGGGGCAAGGCGCGCAAATTGCGCACCCTGAAGCTCTCAGACCGGTACTTAGTTGCCTGGAGAGTTCAGGGGTGTCATAGATCTCAGACAAGGCAGCCAAGGCTTTGCTGGTGTCGTTTGCAAGGCTTCTGGCTTCTCTGCATAACTGCCAAGTCTGCCCCTTTACGGAGCCACCAGAGACCACCACACTAAACTCAGGAAAGGGAGGGTCCCATCTGAAGCTCCACAGTTGGAGGTGGGCTGGGAGAGCTTGGGCTCAGCTCCAGGTAATTCCCTAACAGTCGAGTGTCAAAGCCTTCATCGCCACTTGGGCTACCTTGCCCCTCTGTTACAAAGGGTCGATCCCAACTTCGCTGCGATGCAACGTGCCACGGACCAAAACGGGGGTTGTCTTACAGCAGGTTGGAACGGGATACCCTGCCGAGAACAGATGGGTTGCCACTGGCACGAGGCAAATGGCGGGTAGGGTGTCAGGCCGAGTTCCCGTTGAGGCACTACAGACATCTACCACTGTCGATCTACAACATGTCGTGCTGCGCGTCAGCTCAGTTCGAGGTCCTTCCTACTAAGCGAAATCCAAGCAAAGCCTAGTGGCCTAACAGCTGGGGGCTTGAGACATGCAAGACACACACACACAAAAGAGCATCAGAGCAAGCAAACAAGAGGATATGCTTTAGGAAGTTTAGGAGTAGATAGTTGGGAACCAGTACGTTCATTACTTAACTCCACCTTTCTGTGGTAAACCTACTGTCCGAAGATGAAGACAGCCAAAACGGTACTCGGTCTTCTTATTGTTCACTGGAACTCGAGGCGGGCCACACCGCTTTCAACTTCAGAGTTTCACAGAGAGAGATCCCAAGAGTGAGAGAGACAGAGCGGTTCACACTAGAAACAGTCAGAAAAACCAGATGCCCAACTCTGCTAAGTCTCTGCAATGGACGTCCAGGGCGTGAGGGGAGCCCCTGTCTGAATTCGGTGTGTGAGCCTTGTTCCCTTACACCGTCCCCATCGCAAGCCATTTGGAAGCTGCAGGATGCATGCGCCGGGGGAATGCCTTTGAAGGGAGGTAGGGCTTGCACTAAACACGTATGGAAAGAACAGAAATAGGAACCCATTCACCCGACAACAGAAAGAACGCAATAGCTAAGACCAGAACACAACAGGCAACAGCTACTCCGGAGGTGCCTCACAGAGAGGGCCGTAGTACTGCACCGCGACCTGGGTCTCCGGAGGCTACCTCAGCAGAGACCCAAACATTAGGGATTAGTCCCAGGCCGTTTCAAAAGGTGTCTCCACTGGAGGCTGTCTTGTGGGAGGCTGGAACTGCCCGTGCACTGAGCCCGTGCGCAGATACTGACGAAGTTCTTTAGCTTTGGCCTTCTGTCTTGCATCGGTTAGCGCGCGGCAAACAGCGTCAAAGCAGGAAACCACGTTGCGGTCGTACTGCTGGAGGATGCTCGCGACTCTGTTCGCCGCTTTCAGGCCGCCAAAGCTGGCAAGCAAACCGTTTTTCTCCTGCTTGATGAAAGACGCAAGTTCTTTGTTTGCAGAGAGACGTGCCCAAGTCGGGTCCACATCCACTTTGTGATGCCAAGCTGATGCGTCGAAGATAACGTAGTCATGGAAGAGCTCTTTAGTATCCTCGTTGCGCCTGATACCCCAGTTGGCCCATCCGACGTCCTGCACTTGAAAGCCAGGCGAACAGGCCACCAGTAAAAGTAACAGCATGAAGTAACCATCGTCAGCAGTGGCAGTAACTGGAACAGCCGGGAGCGGCCACACCCTCTCGACCAGGATGGCGTATGCTGGCTGCCAGAGCGTATTGCTACTTGATCGGGGGTGGGAAAGCCCCGGAGAGCTGCTTGAATGTGCAGAGGGGGTTGTCTCCAATAACTGTGCGCTGCGCAACTGGTTGTGGCAGATCCCCACATCTGCGAGACGGTCGTATTGATTCTCAGCTTGAGGTGAAAGCAAACATGTTGGGTACCAGCCAGGGCTCCGCGGCTGACAAAATGGCCTCGCCCTCGTGGGCAGAGAGGGGCCCTTGAGCTCCGGTCACAGTCGGCGGGGTTCAATAGCAATCTTGAAGACCATTGTCTGATCATATTCGAAGTCTGGGGAGGCGACTTCGTAAACCGACCGCGTCACACCATGTCCTATTCTGAGTTCCTGGCCAAGTGTGAAACAAATGGCATTGGAACCGTGTCAGCCCTGCCGGAGTCGTCAAGCGTGACCACAAGGGTCGCCGGAAGCTCCGTTGCCCACTCAAACGGCAAGCGAGATTGAGTGAAGGCGCCCGGAAGGTGCAGCCGGCCCGGGTTTCGGCTCAGGACGAAGCGAGGCTGTCTCCCAAGGAGCCGCGGACCGGCCGATGAAGTTGATGACGATGATCCCGAGGATCAACCAAATTCACGGGCTGCCTCCGTCATGTCGGAGGAACTTGCAGCCACAGCGGAGATACCCCTGAAGGACACTGGCATAATTCTCGTTTTCTTAAGGGCAGAAACATGCAGCTGACACTCCCGAACATATACTTGCGTGCCAATGAGAGGCCCTGTCGGACAGCCGCATAGCCTCGATAGTGAAGCAGAGACTGGAGACGAGGAAACGGAGGAAGGGCTCAAGATTTCACCATGGCAATCCTGACGTCCTCCCAAACGGAAAAGAGAGCCCTCTTCCCCGACGACAGCTCCACCAGAACCGGCTCACCCCCTCCTCGAGCTTCGGGATAAGGCACAAGTCTGCGTTGAGGAGGCCCGTCATCCAGGCCTTGTTCCGGAGTCGTGTTGATACACTATTGCGCTACCGGGGTCGCGCGCGACTTCCAGGCTGCGGCTGGCTCCGCGCCTTTCGGCACCGCCTTGCCCGGCTTGATGGATGCAGTGTGCTTGGCTAGTTTTTCATGCCTGCCGCTAACGGAGGATGCGCAGCAAACACTGTTTTAGCGTACGTGCTGAGCTCGTTGAGCTCGCCGGCAGGGCTGAGGAGATACCCATTTGCGCCTTTCAGCTGCGCCTTGGTAGCTGGGTGCCATGGTCGTAGTTGCTTCAGAAGTCGTAGTTGCTTCAGAACCTGATATGCCACATGTTGATCCCCTTCGGTTACAGCCGCATCAACCTCAGCCAAAAAGTCCGAAGCCCGGGGCTCGCAAGCTTGACCGCTTGCCTATGCGTCTGACGTCTGCTTCGCCAGAGGCGCCTGGCTGCCATTGTTTCCGGTCTTTTCGGGGTACGGGCTGCTTGCTTGGGGAAGAAATGTTGTGTGGCCTGAGAAAGCAGAGCATCCCAGTCTACAGGTGACATGGCCTCGGCCAGTCTATTTGGTACCCAGGTTTGCGTGGCTTGAGCCTGAGGGGAGTTTGATCTCACGGCTGCCTGCAGGGCCTTGGCGTCATGAGGCAGTGGTTTGACCCCGAGCCACCTTCCCTTGTCAGAACGAAATCAACCTGCGTGAGCGATGCGCCCTGCATGAAGGTATGAGCTGATGTAGCTTGCCACGTGTTTAAAGCTACCAAATGGTGGGCCTGCAGGAGATTTGTATTGAGAGAATGTCACGTGCTGGCACTCGCCGCACGCCCCTGGCCTGTTTTGGCTGGGACCATACATGCTGGTACACCGCCATGACGGTAGTTCGCGCCCCATACCAGTCGAAACGTACCTCCGACTCGGCCGTCAGCGTGCTCCTGCCATCGGATGCATTGCGGATTGATGGTAGGAGATAACAGGACCATGACGCCGTCAGCCTTAGTCGTGCCCCCTTCGCATTAGGCTTAGGTTTGGGTTGGGCCGTGGCCCCTGGCTCAAGCGAGACTGCTACAGGGGAACGCTAGGCCTCCGGTGAAGCGGACGCAGTACCAGCCTGCTGTGAACTCAGCAGTCTCCTTCCAATGCGTCTCCTGTAACACGAGAATATCACAGGTCGCCTGAGCCTCAGCTTGCAGCCAGGACTTGTCTTCAGAGCATTGTTGTTGGCCAAGATGTCCAGCGTTCCATGATGGAAGGCGTATCTCTCGTCTCGCGAGTCCAGCTCGAGGCCTGGGGCCCTGGTACGGAGGAGAGGGCTCTGAGGGTGGGCAGTTGCCCATCCGTCGGACCTGGATGGGAGTGAGGACCTGGCCTCGGTGTGGCACTGGCTGTTGCTAGTGCGACAAGCATGCTCAAACGACTTTATCCCTGGCTGAGAATAATTTTGTGAGTGCACTGGCAGTAATGCCATCCGCTGCTTTCGCCACTGCAAGACATGCAACAAAGATGTGACTTCCTCCACCGCGCGGAGGGTGGAAACCCTGCCGCCTGCTCGCCTTAGACAGTGACTGAGCCCAGGAATTGGGACCTGGCAGACCAGACGGTCAGTAATTGCGGGAACACATGGTGCGAAAGTGGGACCAACCTTTACGTTTGAAGAGAGCCTGGCAGGGAGGCTCAAGAGTCAGGCGGTGACCCCGAACGTCTTTGACGCGCCACGGGCCGGTCAGATCCGGTTTCCAGGGAACCCGACCCGCCCCCCACTGAGCGGGCCTTCGGCGAGTTCCAAACTACGCGGTCACCCGGCTTGAGGTCAACCGTCCGCCTATGCCAATTGGCTAACTTGGCTCTCGCAGCCGAGCTGCGGTCCCAGTGCCTTTAGAGAAGCAAGGTTGGCACCCACAGCCTGTTCGTAAGCTTCAGCTAGCTGCGCGTCCGTCTGATCCGTGGCGGCTACCACAACCACAACAACAACAGCAGCAGCAACAACAGCAGCAACAACAACAGCAGCAACAACAATAGCAACACAGCAGCAACAGCAGCAACGGCAGCAACGGCAGCAACGGCAGCAACGGCAGCAACAGCAGCAACAGCAGCAACAACAGCAGCAGCAACAATAACAGCAGGAACAACAAATGCACCACAGGCCTAGACACTTGCAAGCAGCCAAAGACAGCAAATAATGGACCGTTTGTGTGGGAGGGGTGCCGGAAAACCGGGGCTCTTGCGTGCACACGGCCTTCAGCAGACCGCTGTGCAGCCAGCACATTTCGCAGTCTTTCGTCAATCCAATGACAGGTTCGTAGCATCAATTCTTGGCTCTTGGCATGTGCGAAAAATTTTGGGACTGAATGTGCTGAGCTGTATATCATGGCGTTTCGTCGTTGACCATCGCTTCTAAGAGCACGCACGCATACGGGAGCACCAGCATGAGAGACGCCACGCCTTGATGTGTCTGTGTCCAGGGCAGCCGAGTTCACTTCCTTCCTATTGGTGACGATCGCAGAGACCTGCTACAGCTGCTTCCAGAGGAGAAGAAGCGGTTTCTACCGGCTTTAACAACCTTGGAGGCAGACCGCTCTGTGCTTGTGAAGCTATCGCTTCTAGGAGTGCTCTTACATCATTCGTTGGCGAGCCAGCCCCCGGAAATGTGCATGGTTGCATGCAGCATGCACATGACCTGTTTGAGCAGATGAGGTGAATCAGGGTGCAGCGCAACTGTATTCGTTTAACAGATCCAAATCCAGTGGCGTCCTGTGCCAAAAACCCACCGGCCCACAGGGCAACAGAGGGTGAAAGGCGCTTGTGACCTTATGCCTTACATGAGCAAGAGTACTGGCCACAGATGGGGCATAGTGATTCTTAGCCACAGCATCCATTGAAAACACTGGCATTTTAGAACTTGGGCAGGGGAGTATGCAGACAGGCTGAAGCTGATGTTTGGACAGGATGTTTCCCTGTGTGGCTTTCGCTTCATGGCAGTGGCGCAAGTCATCAATGAACCAGTCCAACAGTGTTTGACTGAAGGCTTTATACATGCTAGTGCTGCTAGTGGTTTGCAGTTGTTGTATGTCTGAACGCACGTATGTGTGTAGCTTGTGGCCTGTACAAACTGAATCCTGCATCCATGGCCTTGCGGCCTACGGCCAGGTCTCTGATTGCCAGTTGAATGGGCCGGCGTCGGACTTGCTCCGGCCGCTGGCGGCCTGTGACCATTTGGGAAGCGTGTTGGCTGCAAGAGCAGGGCTGACCGATGAGTTGCCATCCTTGGATCCCCTGCCACCTACAAGCCGTGGCGATGGCGTAATTGACCTTGAGATGCGCAGTCCACTCGCGACTTCACTGGAAGTCTTGGATCTGTCAGGAAACAACTTGAGTTTCCTTGCTGCTATACCACCTGCCTGCCATACGCTTGTCGTCGTTGAGAACATGCAGCCACTCCACGTTGCTGCCGGTGAATTGGCAAAGGCTCTCAGAAGGCAAGTTGTTCTGGATATGCGGGAGACTATTTTGCACAATGATTCCATGAAGGACGTGGAGATGCTACTCAGTTCCCATGACATAAGCAGGACAGTTGATCGAACGAACTTTCGCACGGACAAAGGGTACGCCTGCTTTGATCTAGATCGGAGCACCACCACTCTGGAGATTACACCAGCAAAGCTCATGCCAGAGAAGTGGTGCAGTTGCTTGCCAGGTTGGCATGGCACTGGCATCAACTGCAGCGAGTGTTCTGAAAATACCTTCAGCACCAACATGAGTTCGCCAAGTTGCACGGCATGTCCAGCAAACTCCACCAGCCCGAAGCGCTCCAAGTCAGTGCACGAGTGCAAGTGTCAGCGTGGGTCTGTGCGCCAGGTCGACAGCAACACTTGGATTTGTGGATGTCCACCGGGCCGAGCACTCTTGGAGGACTCCTGTGTGTCCTGCGAAGCTCCTCGGTTTCCCCAAGATGAAGGACGACTTTCATTCCCTAATTTTGTAGCCGGTGGTTTAGACAAGCTAGGATACTATAATCTCGTCACCTGAGGACAGGCACCTGAATTGCTCCAGCAAGCTGTCTGACGTGAAGTCCGCAGAGCCTTTGACGGGCTTTGCCCGATTGCAGGAGAATGGAACGGAGGCTGTCAAGCACCCCTACACCCTAAAACCTAAACCCTAAACCCTACACCCTACTCCCTACACCCTACACCCTAAACTCAGACTCTGACTCCACAACCTGAAACCTTTCATCCTCGACCCTAAGCCCTAGATTGCCTCAGCCCTCAACCCCAAGGCTTTCCAGTGCCTCGTGGCAGCCCGCTGTCCGGGTGGGAAAGCCGGTGGCCTAGGCTGCGAATCGGGCGTCTTGGCTGACACATGAAGGCACAGACTACAGGCTACTCCTCGACGTCATGTACATGGCATCTCAGGCCCCCAAGTCTTAACTGCTGCAAGACCGAGGCTACGCGGGCCCGCTTTGCATGGCATGCAGTGAGACCTACTTCGAGGCAGGCCGCATGTGTATCGAATGCTCGGAAGGAGGTTTCCCACGGTGGCTCATCAAAGCCGGCGTCTGTCTGATGCTTGGTGTCCTGCTCTGTGCCTGCGCAGCAGCCGTTGCTTACTTTGTCGATCACTGGTCTCCGGGCCACCGGGCAGAACAACTGCTGCAGTACCTGGAAGAGACTATTTTGGGTGAAGGTGTACTCGGCAACATGCGAAAGAAGCTGCTGAAGAATGAGATCCCTTTGCTCATTCAGATGTGTCAGCTTTGGGTCGTTGTTGCGGCATTCGCCAGTGCCGTCAGCCTTGCACAGGATGAGACTGCGGGAAGCGGGCTTTGGGAATTGCCTTACATGGAGACCTTGCAGCTGACCGTTGAGAACATACAAGAGCTTCTCTACTTGCAGTGCTACTTCGGTGGTGCTCGGGTGCGTCTGGCTTTCGGGCTACTTGCACCGATGCTCCCGCTTTTGTTGCTTTTCTGCTGCCTGGGTCTCGAGTTCTTCAACGCCGGAGCAGGACTTCGCTTCTCGTGACTGTTGCTGTTGCTTGAGCGCAGGCCGGCTTTGCCAGTATCCCCTCTGGAGCGCTTTTGTTGACATGTTGTGAGGAGTCAATGCAGCCTTGAAGATTTTGACGCTATTCTTTATCGGTGGTGCCTCGAAATGTTTTTCCTTGCAGAGTTGCCAGCGATTTGATGCAGGCCAGGCGTTGGTGACGCGTCACGATGGCAGAGCAGAGTTCTACCTTCCACACCCCTTTTTTTCCAGCGGCCTTATTCGTAGTCACAGTGCCTGACACCTTACCCACTGGCGGACAGCACCTGGTATGTATGGTGAATATGATTATGCAATTCTCATGTGGCAGTTACGTGTCGCTCGGAGCGGTTGTTGCTAGCTACTGAGCTACTGTGTAGGTCTGCAATGATTTTAAGCATGCTTCGTTTCGTGCTAAACGGACACAGAGTCGTAGAGCTAGAGTTTATCAGATGTCTCGTGTAAAGGTCTAGAAGTCCTACAGCTCTTCATCGTTGTATGCAGGGTTCCGAGCAATCAGACCGCTCACTGTACTAGTCGTTGCAACCTGGGGTGTGTTGATGCTTCCATGAGGCCATCGCAGGACTCACTTGCATCCCTGCGACTGTTCTTTTTGCCCCCGGTTCAATCGTGTCTGACAGGCGGCGAGAAGCTTGCGGATGAGTTTGCATTCTTGAGACAGCTTCCCGATCTTCGTTGCAACTTCGAGGCTTCGCCCGAGCTCCATACAGCGGCGGCCTCACGACATGTAGCCTGCATCCTGAAGAGTCTTACTCTTGCTCATATGTGCGGGTTTTCTTGAGGTTGTTGCCGTGTTCTGGCCATGTGCCATATGCTACTCCATCTTGATCCCGTGCTTCCTGATCTACCTCTACCTTCGACAGCACAAGCTGTTGCACATCAAGCGGGCTCCTCTGCAGGTGAACAACGGGAATAAAGATGAGTGCAGCTTCTATGTTGCCATGGAGGAGCCTGCGTGTGTACTTGCTCCTTTAAGTCGCAGCTTCTTCAGATTCTCAGGCATGTCAGGGTCGGGCATCCTTCCTCGGGCCTCGCTTTGTAGAAGATGTTGCCTGCTGCCTGCCTTGCTCTTTGCAGTCTAGGAGTCGACATTTGCCAAGTACCTGGTTGTGTTGGTGCGCGCTTTAACAGGTGGAGCAGCGCGTGACAATGGCATGGTTCTGCAAGACTGGTTTGTACCTTGTAGTGAATGTCCATGGCCTCGAGGGGTCTAGCTTGTCACGCTGCATGCTCCGTGTTGCTGGTCACTCGAGTTCAAGTAGAATTTTCATGCTTCTATCAGCATCTTCACCCCAGCAGCCTCTCATTTCCTTACCATGCCTCTGCAGGAGTTTTGCAGGCAGGTGTACCAAACACAAAGTGCTTGGAAGTACACCCAATCACAGGGCCTTTTCATGCCCTGTCGCACTTAGAGCCGCTAAACATGCACTGCGCAAGAACATGCATGCAGGCTAAACCCTAAACCCTAAACCCCTAAACCGTGGCTTCAGCAGGGGAGTGTCTCACTTTCTTCCAGGAGCGCATGCTGCAGAAGCGCTTGACAGCTGCAGCCGTGGCCTATGTCGCTGTGCTTCAGAAACGCAACGTTCGAGTGCAGCTGCGCGAGGGCAAGGGGAGCCTTGGCTGGTGTGGCTCTGGGTTTCAAGAAAGTAGGTCCAGTCCGGCAGCCGATGATGTCATGTCTCTTTCGCGGGTCTTCTTGGCAACAGGGGGCAGTGACAAGCCAAGGGAATTCTTGTGCTGCATGGTGTTGCATGCATTTTTTGGAGACTCATAGATTTTCTGTTGTTTCACGATCATGGGTCAGTGTTCTCTGGCCAGGATGGTGACCTTGTTGGATGGCACTCCCGTGGAGTTAGACGCCGCTGGCCTGAACTTATCCAAAACTTGCAGCTGTGGTGTTCAGTGACTGTAGCCGTTGGTATTCAACATAAGGTGAATCCTGCGCACTTTGAATTTCAACAAGAATCAGATCGACTCCGGCACCATGCCATCACCGAGATGTTGGTGGAGCGTCTCTTAATCGAAGAGGAAGGAAAGAATGACCGCAGCCTGGCTGACGGTTTAGGGTTTAGGGTTTAGGGTTTAGGGTTTAGGGTTAGGGTTCGGCTGCGGCTAAGTTCTGCCGGCGCCACTGACTTGGAGTTTGCACATGTGTGGGCTGGCCGAGGAGTGTTGCGGGGTGCCAAGGAGCTTCTCTTCAAATATGTTCCTTGCTTGAGCAGAAGGTGCAGATGTGGAAATGGGGGATCCTATGGATAGCGCAGTCTGTCTCTTTTGTTCCTTAGGTTTTCGGGTCTGATTGAGCTACCATGTTGCTTGACCCAGTCACAGCAGATCCTTGGTCCTTGAGTCAGCCCCACAGAGCCAAGGGCACGTGCCGCGATTTGTGGATGGAGGTGGTTCTCAAATTAGTTGCTGTGGCATTGGTTAACGTTTCTTGACCAAGCTTGGTCGCAGCGATTGCTTCTTGAGACTGCCTAAGACGTGCAACAACGACTGCTTGCCATGGTCCATGTGTGGGAACATGTGGGTGGGGCCTGATTGCACCGCTGAGGTGGTATCGGCAGCTCAAGTGGCATCTAGCACGGAAAAGGAGGTCCCTTCCCTTCCAATGCTTGGGTTGGGGGACTAGGCCTGTAATCCCGCAAGTGGCAACCTGCACCATAGTGCAGCCATCCTTCTTTCGACGGCCTGTCTCCTGTGAGACGGGGAGGAGTGCACCTTTTGACCTCAAAGGTTGTCGTTGCATCAAGCTGAGGCCTTCGAAAGGGAAGACTGATTCAGAAATTCTAGACATGCACACCTCGAATCCTGCCACTTTTGAGTAGCAAAAGCGGCTCTGTAAAAGCGGCTCAGGTTCTACTATTTGCTGTGGGCAAGGTCGTCATCATCACGCTCGGTCTCCAGGCAAATGCTTGGATTTCTTGGAGGTCTTTTGAGAGTAAGTTTTGGGATTAAGAGTAGTTGCATTGCCTACAAAACCATCATGCCGTGGATATCTGAATGATACTAGCAATGGGAATCCCAAGAGTTCAGAAGGTTCCAGAATAACAACCCCCAACCCCCACCAGCCTAGAACACTAGCCCCGAGTCGCAAGCCTGTCGGTTTGCTGAGACCTACCCAGGTATGGCTTTCACTGTTTGGATGGTGCAGCCGTACGGGGAGCCGCAGGCAGGTGGAAGCTTGTTGGGGCTGTGGGTGCTTCTGAAGTGCTTCCAGCAGAGCAAACCCTAAACCCTAAGCCCTTCATTGGGATACTCTACTCAGGGGTGCATGTCAGCTGACAGCATAGCAGCCATGCTGTCAGGGGCCTCCAGGCCTCCATCTTCCGGGGGGCTCCAGGAGATCTGGAAATTTTTTTGAAACAAGCCTGGAAGAAACATGAGGGTAGTTCTCTAAATTAGGGCCCCTTTTTAGGTCCCAATATAGTACGGCACCCTTGTAATAAGGACCCTACAAGGGACCCTAATTTAGAAAACTACCCATGAACAAACATGACATGAACAAAAACCTGACAGCGGCTCACCAGGGCCTCCAACCCCTCCAGTGGCCTTCACTCCAGGGCCCTCCAGGCCTCCAGCCTCCAAGCGCCTCCAGTCAGACTTTGTTTAGGTACCATGCAGGTTTAGGGTTTAGGGTTTAGGGTTTAGGGTTTTGGGTTCAGCTCATTCCCAGTTTTTAATTCAGGGTTTAGGGTTTAGGGTAATTGTCTTGGATCTACAGAGCGTGGCCGACCCTTTGGATCACAAGCATAGCTCTTGGGCTAACAGTGCCCATGAACGTGCAGCACATTCCCAAAATCCACAAGAGTTCGAGAAACTGGCAAGGCCTGAACACTCCAACACAATGAAAGTTGGCGACAAGCCCAACAGTCGAAACACCCAACATCAGTGCAGAAACCTTCCGAAAAGTCGAGAAGCACAACTGTCGGATGTCTTGACATGTTGCCGTCTTCCAGCTTTATCGATCTGGCATGATTCACAGTCGCTGGCGAGCTGCTCCAATCTGCATTGCATGGCTCAGCTTGGCAGGTGAATGACCTTCAGCTTTGCTGCTTTTTGAGCACTTTGGCCGGCATCTAGAGCTTGTTGTCACTGTTTGACTCTCCTGCCGTGGGCCAGCAGGCCAAAGCAAGACCTCGTGCATTGCAAGCTTTGATGCCCCACCTAGACATGTGTCAGTAGTGTGCAGTCATGTAGGTCCATGCGCGCGATAAGCTATGTACGTAAGTCTTTGTGTCTCAGTGCTCTATCTGCCCTTCACCACGACCACCGCCACTACTATTTTGACTGCTGCTACCGCTGTTCCTATCTTCACTGCCACCGGGACGATGAGTATTACTAGGACTCGTACTTACCTAGCACAACTACCACGGCTACCACAGACGACGACGCTGCCACCACCACCACCACGACGACGACGACTACTACTTCCTTTGACACTTAAAAGCATCTCGACTGCCACTTGAGGTCTTGCGGCCTCAGCCGTGGGCTTTGGCTTCCGGATGCTTTGGCTTAGCCGGTTGGCCCTGCTCGCACCTTTGCTGCTCTCGGCCTGGCACACGCTTCAACCCGATAGCCCGGAGAGCCTGGCCTGGCGCCTCTGGGAGGGCCTTCAGAAGGACCTCGGTGGAAGTCCCTGTTGGGTCTTTCGGGGGCTTCTGGGAGTTGTGCGGGCTTTCTTCACAGCAGTTTTGCACACTAGGATGGGGCTGTGCGCGTCTTCCATTCCATAGGCCCACAAAGAGCAAGCAACAGCTTGCAACCCAGTTGCCAGGACGCTCCGGAAGCGCATGTACTGGGCCGCCCACAATCGGTTGCCATGAACTTCAAGCTGGAAAGCTAGACATGCACGGGTGGTGCCAAGATGGCCCTCTGAACTGACATGCTGCTATTGTGATTGCTGGAATGCGATTGTAAAAAAGACGTTCTTGCCTCAGGAAGACGAATAAGGCAGACGCGAAACCAAATCTAGAGTCGGTCGGGCTTCACGGGTTCAAGGTTCCGGATTCGGAGAAGCCGCCCAGGCCCAAAGAACAGAAGTCGCGAAGGGCAATTCGCCTCAACGCGACGCCTCCTTGTTGACTTTGGCCATGTCGCAGCTGCGTTCACGGAGCACGCCGATCCTTGGGGGCAGGAGCTTTACCTTCTCCCGCTCGCAGCGTGGGCAGCCGGATGACGAGTTTTGGGTAAGACTCTCCCCGAAGCCGCCCTGGCATGCTTCAGGACTTTTTTTTCGGGGGGGCTTCATGTTGCAGGCTTGAGACTGTAATTTTTGGTGATGCCTTGTCCGTTTAGGCTGCCAGTCTGCCAGGAGAGAAGGGTCCATTCAACACGTTCCTGCAACGATCGCACCAGTTTTAAATTCGTCGTTATTACGTTCATTCCAGAGCTTCGCGATTTAAGAGTTAAAGGTAGTTCGGGACTCAGGGGTGTCAGGAGGCCGTCAGATCAAAATCCGCTGAGGCCCTCACTTTCCTTACAACCTTAAACCCCTGAATCTTAAGACCCTTGAACTTGAGGCCCCCGGCCCTGCGAAGCTTGACCCCTAGTGAAGTCTGATCCTAATATCCGCCGAAACAACCGGAGAAAAAAAGCCACACACTTTTCACACTTCACGCTAACTTTACAAAACCTACCGTCAAACCTTAACCCCCTTAACCTGCATCCCCCCCCGTCTCTAAGCAAAGTAAAACCTAAACATTCAGCCCAAGGCCCGGGTCTAAGCCAAACCTGCAGCTTTAGGGTTTAGGGGTTTAGCTTGGGCTAATAGGGTTCTTTCTTCAAGGAACTAAAGGAGGGACCCTTAAGGGACCCTTGGGGTTATATAGGGGGCTTTATGAGCCCAAAGCCCTAAGCCCCAAGCTTTTGTAAACTCCAAAGGTCAGATGCCGGAAGCACGAGGAGCCCGAGTGCCTCGAGTGCCTCAAGGCTCATGTCATTGTCATCAAGTCCCAGCTCTGCGAGCTCCCGTCCCAGTGCCTTTCTTGAGCTTTTGAGGTTGTCGTGGGGCGTGTCACTCGGGGTTTAAGATTCAGGTTGGTTTAGGGTTTAAGCTTGTGAAGGTTTGGGCTTCGAGGTTTCGTTTTTTTTTTTCTTTTTTTCGGGGGTGCCCTGTATTTCCACTCAAGATGCTGTCACTGTATATGCCCGCTGCCGTGATCCTCAGATGCGGTCTGGTCTCTCCATACCTTTATGAAAGCAAGAAGCAGAAATTCAGGGCCCAGGAATTTGCCTGCCTGGGCCTTACATTCTGCTACTGGTAACAGCAGTTTCGAGTCTTGCAACTACTGTAGTAGATTCACTTCAGACCACTCTATTCACGAAAGCTAGCGAGCAGCCTAGTAAGTCTTCCATATCTAATTGCGCCAGCAACAATAGGGTGGGCAGGACCGGCCAGCCGTACCTGATGAAACATGTAAAACCCTTCCCATTGTTCCTGCCTCACCCCAACCTTCCCACCGCGGGTACCCTCCAGTCAATATTCAAGCGTCCCGATGTCGTATCATGGTGCTGCAGTTGCTGAGGGTGTTGTGGATGCAGTGTGCTGTGCATTTCGTCATCATCCAACGACTTGGTGCTGTGCTCTGCGTGCTCTGCTCCTGCTGCGTTTGGCGACTGGGGAGCGTGCCAGCGCAGCCAAATGTGCGCGACAATGTTTCGAGCCGCGCCGGCCACCTACAGGCCGGAATTTCCCAGGGACTCCAATATCCCTTAATTTTGGAATATACCTTAAATCATACGAGGGATCTTACAATTATTTAGGGTATATTCCTTAATTAAGTGATATTGGAGTCTCTGGGAAGAAAGGAGGAGGAGGAGGAGCCAGCCTTTGAGGAGTCTGAGGAGACCCAAGCGGCTTCCAAGGCGAGGACAACGGAGGTTACGGCCAAGACCCATCTTGGAGGTTCATGGGTAGTTAT